GTTCAGGTCTTGTCTTTTCTTCTTCTTCTTCTTCTTCTTCTTCTTCTTCTTCTTCTTCTTCTTCTTCTCCTTCTTCTTCTTCTTCCTCTTCCTCTTGCTCTTCCTCTTCTTCTTCTTCTTCCTCCTTCTCCTTCTCCTTCTTCTTCTTCTTCTTTTTCTTCTCCTTCTTCTTCCTCATTTAGGTGAGGGGACTGGATAGGAAATAGGAAAAGGTGACCTCAGCATACAAAACTCCAGATGTTCTTCTTTGGGAATATCTTCATAAAAACAAATGGCGATGAAAGCCCCTTTCTGACAGCCCCCAGGAAAATATGCGTCTGCATATGGAAACCGTCAATCTAGTGATTAACCTGCATTAGTTTAGTAATACAGCGCTTCCTGTCCTTAATTTCAATCACCAACAGCTTTCTTTCTTTTTTTTCTCTAGAGGAAACAATAAGAAAACTCCAAGATGTCCAATATATCTCCAGATATAGCCCTCGGCGCCTGCGGGGAGGTGATCCTCGCTGATAAAGTGAAATATCACTACGGAAAATAGAAAGTTACAAAACAAGAGAGATACATAACGAGAGGCCATCAGGGAGGTAGGAAGGCAATTTCCCACAAAAAGCCCATGGTTTAAGATCGTGAAGGTTGCGTTTTGTTTGGCTTCCCTTAAGGTCAGTAACTGAACAAGGAAGAGTTTGTTAAATAGACTCAGTTGTATACATTTTGAAGTGTCTTCTCTGTGCCAGTCGTCAAGCTGAGTGCCTTCTTGACTAATGTGGTGTCCACTGTGCCACCCTGAGTGTGCCCTGCGCACTGTGGGGGCTGCACGTGAACGGCCAGACCCCGTGCTGTCCTTTGCCTACACGACTGGGCGATGCAATGGTGAAACCCTTGAGAAAGCAAATCCAGATCGAGGAAACACAAACAATGTGAACAGTGAGCTCTTTGAAAAGAAAACTGCTTCCCTATGGCAGAAAGTAAGGGGGAAGGGGCCCATGCAGGGAGCCCAGCAAGCAGGGAAGGTGGGCCCTGGGGAGTGTGATATTACACAGGAACATAATGGGGTTGACTGCATACTTGTCTAATTACTGAAGCTATTAAAATCTCTATAATTTAGATTCAGGCAAAAAAAAAAAAAAGGCTCCTATGCACACACATGCTCCTGATTGGATTTTATGAATCCGCTCCTTTTGATTCTAGAAGGACACCACCCTGCTGCGTGCATGTGGCTGCTGAACCTGAGTGACCTTCTCCCCCGGCCCTGCCCCTGCCCCCGACCAGTACGCTCTGTTACTGTAATAAGCGGTTCGGTTAGATAAGGCGGCGGGTGATGGGATCATCTGTGTTGAAGCCGAATTATAATGCCTCGGTCAACGGATTTAATCTAAACCAAATGCTTTGGGATTCTGAAAGCTCTGGGAACAGAGAAAATATAAGTTTTATATTTTCCCAAGTTCAAACAGAGATCAGATAGAGAGATTCCAGAAGCTCAGAGAGTGGCAGCAAGAAAAAAAAAAAAGGTTGTTTCTCCCAAGTTCAATCAAAGGAACAAGTAGGCTATTCTTTGCACTCATCTTCTCCTCTTTCCCTCCTCTTCTGTGCCCTTCCTTTTCTCTTCACACAAAGAAGGGTTATCTAATGTCAAACAGAACTTGATCAAACAAGTACTTAGCCCATAGAAGGTGCGCAATAAATAAATACTCCTCGCATGAACAAACAGACAACATGAGTGCGGGGTGTAGTGCCCAGCTTTCAGCATCAGGCTTCACCCTGGCCCTTCTTCGTTGTGAGACTGCAGGCAGGTTACTTAACATCAGTGCCTCAGTTTCCTGATCTGCAAAATGGAGCTAATAACACGTGTGAGGACTAAACAGGTTCATGAATGAAAAAACTAACAAGGTGCTGGATACGTAGCAGGCAGTTTCCTAGTTTAGCATTCCTTGCCTCTATCACCTGTGCTCCTACCTCTTCTGATGACCCTGGGGGCATCAGTGGAGGTGGAGGCAGTGATGGTTAGTTAAAGTGACATTCTCCTGGGGCCCCAAGAGAGGAAAATACCGATTCAATAACGTTTCTGAGGTCATCTCAACATTTGTTGTACTCTGCCTTTGTCAGAATCCAGTGTATCTAAAACTTGAGAGTCTTCTGATGAATCAGCTATTATCAGTCACAAGGCAGCTCTGAGATGTCATAGATTGTATGCATGAATGAAAGAAAGCTCAATATTTTGATGCATTAAGGCCTGGGGTGTGATGGTTCCTCTAATTTTAATATAGCATTAAAATTCTATAACATAAAATATCTTATTTTGAATTCGAAGTCTATGATCTCTTTCTTCCCCTTGTAATAATACAATGGTACATACTTCTTTTATATACATTGTATGCCTAATTTTGGAGACTATTCAATTATTGTTATTGTCTTTTCACAGATGAGAAAATAGATGTTCCATGGGTAGTCAGAAACCCAGCCAGGGCTGAACCTCAGCTCTGATATTTTACAAACATTTAATGAGCACCTACTGTGTTCCAGGTATGTGCTGGGTTCCGGGAACAAAGCAGAGAACAGATTGAACAGCCTTGGAGGGTGTCTTTGACCTCCAGCTGAGTCTCCTTCCTAATATTAGGACTCTAGCCAAGGACAGTGACATTAAATTATAATCCAATATATCTATATATAAAATAGAGAAACATGCTAATTAACCAGGATGCCATAACGGGCAGACGGGACAGGAGGAGTTTGCTCATGCAGCATTGGGGGTGGGGCAGCAGGGGCCTCCGAGCAATTGCGCTGGGGGCGGGCCTGACCAGCAGTGGCTGCTGGCTGCTTCAAGGGCCGGAGAGGGAAGTAGGGCCAGACTTCGAGGAAGGGCAGGACTGGCGACTCAAGGGTGGGCGGTGCCCCGCGATTTCGAATCACGCACTGGGCTCCTGGTTTTCCATATAAAAACTTAACAGTTTGAAGGAGGTTTCAAAAAAATACCTTAAAGGGAGTTAAAAAAGCATTTTAACATCATTTCTGACGGGTAGTACAGTAAGCTTTGACTAAATTAACTGAAGTACAGTTGTAACATGACTTGCAATAAAATGATCAGCAAGTTACCGAAACGTGTGGAAACATCGCCACCTTATATAAAAGGTAAGTGCACCAAAGTAGCAGTGGAAACAGCAGGGGCTTCCAAGCCAACAGTTTTTCTAGGGCCAGTAGCACTGACTCCCAGGCACTGGTGTCCTCAGCCACTCCTCTGCTGAACTGCCCGGCTGCCGCTCCCCAATTATTCTCCTGATAGACAGCAGGGAAACAATACGTATTCCCTTCTGCCTGTAAGAGTAGCAAGTAAAACAGCTTTGTGATGGTAAGAAATGTCAACTTCATTAGCTTTTCTCTCCCAGGTAGTAAGTGCTTTCTCCAAGGAATGCCCAAAGTTCACACCACTGTGTGAAGAAGTTTATATTTCCTTCTCTTTTCTCACTTAAGATTCATAGATGCAAAAGTCACACTCAGGGATGATAAGAAATCATCATGGTTTATTGTTTTTTAATGTAACGACATAACATATTACCACAGTGAAAGTTAGAATCTGTTTCATTGGACATGTACTTTGAACGCTCCCATTGAAAAGTACAGATCCTATGTCCCCCGAACCTTAAAGATTATGGAACTCAGAAATATCTTCTCTTATACCAGGAGTTCTTTTTTTTAATAACTTTTTAAAAAATTATTTTTATTGATTTCAGAGAGGAAGGGAGAGAGGGAGATAGAAACATCAATGATGAGAGAGCATCATTGATTGGCTGCCTCTTGCACACACCCTCTCGCCCCCACTGGGGGGGACCAAGCCCACAACCCAGGCATGTGTCCTTGACAGTAATCGAACCTGGGACCCTTCAGTCCGCAGTCCAACGCTCTATCCACCGAGCCAAACCAGCTAGGGCACCAGGAGTTTTTTACTTGGAGTTTGCAGATGTTTTTCAGGTAGACCTGTGAGCCTCATGCAATGGCATGAAAGAAACATTTTTTTGTAGGTCCATTTTGTAAGTTTATGGCCTTTCAAAAGATTCTCAAAGGGGTATATGAACGAGAATAGTTTGAGAACTCCTTACAACAATCTATTGAGGTTTTGAATGCTGTCAATTCATTTATAAGGAATTTCACATGATTTTTGAGTGTTTCTTTCAATTTGGCATTTGAAACAAAAATGTACAGTCATCAAAGATATATTTCAAGAATATCGGAGGCCTGGTTGACACCATGACATTTATTTTATTTGCACAGTTTGGAGAAGTGTTTCTAGCCTCTGAAAAGCAGAAAGGACTATCCAACTATAACTCCATTTCATTTGACTCTGAGGGTTTCAGTTCCTGCACAACTGACTGAAATGAAATCCTATCAAGTAGATCCTCTGTGCCTGTTGTACAGATGTAATGCCAGTCTGTGGTCCGCAAGAGTGAAAGATGGCTGAGCCTCATCGTCCGTCCCATCATGTTGCTCTGGGAGGAGGACTGCTGGGCATTATCCCTGGGCCCTTGTGGGCACAGCCCTGTCCCTTGATGTACTTACTTTCTGGTTGGGGAGACAAGATGTGCTCAATATACACATAATTTTTACCCCCAATAGGCCACTGTATATACTGGAAAAACTAGAGAATGTACACACAGAATTTTACTTGAATATAAAATATCTATGGCTAACACTGCCCTTGATTATGATGTGTCTTATTAGGAATTTATAGATGATTTATAGATGGTTTATCAGTGTTGATGATTCTTCAAAATCTGCCCATGAAAAATCCAGTCATTTTAAATATTTTTTAAAATATGTTTTTATGGATTTTCAGAGAGAGGAAAGGAGAGGAAGAGAGAAATAGAAACATCAACGATGAGAGAGAGTCACTGATCAGCTGCTTCCTACACGCCCCCTACTGGGGATCAAGCCTGCAACCTGGGCATGTGCCCTGACCAGGAATCGAACCATGACCTCCTGGTTCATGGGTCAATGCTCAGCCACTGACCCACACCTGCTGGGCTAGTCATTTCAAAGGATACATTTTAGGACTAAATTTTAAATATATGACACAGATTTCTTTTATAGAAGTGGATTCTCCTAAATTCAGAGTGTTCTGCAATCTAAATAATAGGCTTTTCTGTCACAGTCTTCTGTTTACAAATAGGCGAAGAAAGTTTTCTTTCCTGTAAGAGAGAGAGGGAGAAAAAGAAAATATTTTTACACACACTAATTTATATACACACATACATATCCACGAGGTTCAGTAGAAGTTGCTATTTTTAAAATATTTATCAGAATAGGTGGGTTAAAACTTGATAAGGTTTGTAAAATTTATAGAGGCATCCCTTTCAAGGCTTGATGTGAGTTATGAAATCTAATTTTGTTTTCATGGCTCTGTGATAAAATTTTATCAACGTTATAAAAGGGGTCTTTACTAAGACTGACCGGAAATCAGAACTATCTGGCCAGGCAATAAAAACACATTCCTTAGCTGCAAAGTGTCTGACAAGCAAGGTTTACCTGAAATTGATCGATAAGTCTTCCTTTTACAGTTGAGTGCATTCACTTTGCCTCATAGGATAATAGTTTTCTTTTTAATGGTTTTTCCATTAATATCGGACTCCAGTGTTAGTAAGAAACATGAAAGACATAAAAGGGAGAGAGACATGCCTTCCAGAAAGAACGCTGTGATCTTTCAGGTAGAGCACTGGTGCTCACGTGAAGTGCATGTGTGGGTGAGGGTTGGGGCTTTTGCTGCTGACTGTTATGAATTGAAAAGTGCTTTCCCTCCCCCACGG